TAACCAGTTATAAAATACCATTATTGCTCCTCACTTTATAGAAATGTTTCTTTAAATGGATATAACTTGAAAAAAATCACAGTTTTCTGATGAATATAAGCACACATTTTAGAGAGATAAAAATATCCAAGATGCAAATATAACTGGTTTAAAATCTATCAACTATGCTGACTTTCCCCTCTATCCTTAGGAGCCTGCTGCTGGGGAGCGAAAGCAAGGCACAGGCATTGCCCAGCGTGCAGGCCCCGCTCAGGTCCACGTCCCCTGCCCTGCGTGTGTGAGGGAGCCCTGCCCACAGGAAAGCGCCTCTTCCACTCTCCAGAAGCTTTGGTTCAGGAGTCTCTCTCCCTCTCTCTCTTCTCTCTCTCACACACACACAGTATTAGTCTTAGCTTTGAGCTCCAGTCCGACTCTGCTATAATTGCCCTCATTAAGAACCTCTGCATCATTTCACAGTCAGAGAGAAGTATCGGGCATGGTTCCAGGAGAAGCCACACTCTCCTTAGCCCGAACAGAAGTGTGGGTGTAAATCTCACACACACACACACCCCCCAAGAAAACTTCTGAGCTTTTATTTCCATTTCCAGGTGTGATAGAGAAAATACAGGCAGACAAAATGAAAATTAAATACCCACTGAGGGTCAATACCCTTCCTGAGGTGTTTGATATGATTTTAATAAGACACTTAGGATCCTTTTTTCAACATCTGCGGGCATGTTTTGCTCAAACATGTCATCATGATTCCCCCAAACTTCAAATGTTTGTTTTTCACAAACATTTAATGTTGTCACACATAAACAACACAATTCTAAGTGGACTGTCTCCTAGAGCAAAAGGACCCAGCTCTTCCCAGAGGCTTGTCCAGGTTCTGGAGGGTCGTGTTCTGATGGAGGATGTTGGAAATGAGCATGTGGCGTGCGTGGTCACCAGCTGTTGACACTCATGAGTAGTCCCCTGGGGGCCAGGCAGCCTTCAATGGCAGAGACTTGTCTACCATGCACTGCCTCCCGGCCATGATGGTTGTGCTGGTGGGAGCCTCCGATGAGGTTACTGGGAGGCAAGACTTGGCTTCTCCAAAGGTCCTGGAATCCCTCATCCTCATAATAAATTATGCAATGTGATACAAGGCCACATTTGAGCATGAACGTTTTTAGAAATAAAATTCGGAAAGATGGCCAGGAAGAGTAGGGGGAAACTGGAGATTTGTGGTGTCCAGTGGAGATCTTAGGCTGTGTTTGGGGAGCGCAGGAGGAAATGAAAACTGAGGAGTCTGGTCTAGGCAGAGAAAGCAGGGATTGCCAAGGCAGGAAGGTAGCTCTAAAGGAGCGTGAGTGCAGAAGACAGAAACACCCAGGCAGCGGCCCTGGCTAAAAGACAAGGATTGCATCCTTATACGCTAGAGGACTGAGCCATCCCGAGCAGGGGTGCCTGCGTCATATTTGCATTTTAGATAGATCTTTGGGGGTTGTCTCTAGAGAATCCCTCGGTGTTGCAGGTGATACTGGAGGCAAGTGGAAGCAACATTCACAGTCCCTTTAACATACAGCAGCTAAGGAAGATCAGCTTTAATATGTAAAATATCCTGGAAAGAGGAGATGGGGTTTCCACATTTCTGGCTTAGGCACAAGGTGGGTGGTGATCCTATTCACCAAAGACAGGGAATAAAAAAAGAGGCCTGGGTAGGAAGGTGGGGTGCAGGACGAGGGGACTGGTGGAAAGTGCTGGAGAATAGAGAGGAGCTTTGCCCATGTTGGTTGGAACATCCACTGAGCATCCGGGTGGAGCTGTTCAGTAGGGAGACAGAGTTCAATGGCAGGTCGGAGCTGGATAAATGAATGTGGGGTCATCAGCCATTTGTGGAAAGCAGGGATTTTGTTGAGGATGAGACCATTTAAACGAAGGACATGGAGAAGGCAAACACAGCACCAGGTTGTTGTGCAAGGAATCGTGTCTCAATATGTCTACGTGTGGTGGACCTTGAGGTTTCTAGGGCAGTAGAGGTTGTTGATAAGGGGAGACCAGCCTGATGTAAATTCTTTTCTTGGCATGAACATCAGTTTTGCCAACTGCATCACCCATGGGGTTGGACTTGACAGTCTCTAAAAGAATCTCTTCCACGTTTAATATGCTACAATTCTAAATCTCTTCCCAGTGTTGTGAATCCAGCCAGTTTGCTTTGGACGAAACTGTTGGAGGAGAATCTGCTTGGGATTGAGAATGAAATGTCAGTGCCTCATGGGGACACGTGCCAGGCAATTGCAAGCCTCAACTTCCCAATAATGAGGGAAGGACATACGGAGTTTAAAGACACCCCATGGAATGACTAAACTACTCACCCAGAAACATATGTCATGATTTCCACCACAAGTTATGATATAGATGAGTCAAACTGAGAGCAAAATTTTGGCTTTTTAAGGGCCCCTGCCCCATCGATGTCAGTGGTTTCTGTTTAACTGCAGGGAAGAGAAAATGCTGATACGGGTGGTATCTGGTTCCAGGACTGGGCTATCCAACACACCTGAATAAAAACAGCTGCGAGGACCACCCACAGGAAGGCTGGGGTGCAAAGGTGGCAGGGTCCTAGGTCACCAGAGGTAAAGTGGTAAAGAGGACAGGCAGACTTGACGGGGCTTTGTAAGGATGTAATGCCTGGGATCTTGGTTTGGGGAGTCTCACTACTGGGGCCATGGAGGAGGGCCAAGTTGAGGGGGTCACTGACCCAGAGTGAGGACTGCTGGGCACAGAGCCAGAGAATGAAGGAAAGCAAGTCACAGAGCAAGGTGCAGGAGAGATGGAACCACAGCAGAGCGGGGAGGGGACATGGAGAATCCATGACAGAGCAGACAGAGACAGGACGGAGTTCCAAGGGTCAAGGCTGAGGTCCACTGAGTTCTCACCATGAAGTTGCTTCTATGCATGAATTGTCGTGAACCACTAGGGTCAACCTGCCTTTGAAGAAGCCTGTATGTGCCTCTGTGAACCTGCTGCAACAGACTCCTTGCTGCTTGCCTTGTTTGTCTCTGCTGCAGGACACTCTTAGCCTCCCCAATAGCTGGGCTGTTTCTCTGCATCTCAGTATAAACCACGTGGCAGGCTAAATATCATGGTTAAATGCCACCGCAGGTAGGGTGGTAGATCGTGGTTCCTTAGCTCCTTCTGTTCCCAATGATTAATTTAAGTAAGAGGCGGTGCCCTGATTTCACTGCTACAAATACAGGGCTTGTGAAAATCAAGCATCAACTTGTGATGTACAAAGTTGTTTGTTGACGCTCAAAGCAGACCTTTTAGCTTGGGAATAGTAACACTAACAGTGAATAATGGTTTTGTTAACTGTACTCCCATACCCGAGCCTTGACACATCAACTCAGGTGCTAGCCAAGCAGCTGTGAGGCTCTCAACACTGTGCTATGCCATGGGGACAGAAAGCGGCCACCTTTGGCTTCTCAGAACTCACACTGTTGATGGCAGAGGGGCTGGAGCACTAGGCCAGGAAGCCGAGAGTCAGGGACGTACGAATTACCTGGGATCGAATGCCTGGTTGTCCATAAAAAAGAGTCAGAGAAAGAAAAATGATGATAAAATAACCATATACCACTTTTTGACTATCACCTTGTAAAGACTGAGAGGGGACATGTGCTCATGCCATTGGCAAGTGACAAGAATGTAAGGCAACAAACACTATCGGATCTGAACCTTGTGGGGACAGTTGTCTAGATTCTTAATAGTCATACTTTTTGACCAAATCTCACCTAGCTCTAAGATTTATTATCCTTCGTAGTTCAAAGGCCAGGTGCACTAAGATGTGAGCTCAAGGATGCTCATCACAATGTTTTGTAAAATAGTGAAAGTTATAAGCAAATAAACTGGAATCTGGTTAAGGAAATTGTGGTGTAATCCATGACCAGTGCTTCGCAGTCATTCAAAAAGTGATGATGTAGTCTAACATTATTGACGTGGAAATCTATATGATAGGGTGTTAAGTGAAAGAGCAACTTACAGCATTGTAGGTAGGGTATAGGTGTTTATAGTTATAGAAATGGGATCATATTTCCCTCTCTGTAAATATTCACAGGTACAGAAATGGAAACAGAAAGATGCTCACCAAAATAAAATAGTGGTTTCCTCCGCAGGTGGTATCATGAGAGGACTTTCTTTTCTGATTTATAATTTTTCAATTTTGTCTCAGTTTTTAAATAATGGGCATGAATTCGTTTCATAACCAGGAAAAGAATAAAGCTTCAAAGAAGCAAAATAATAGCAGCCAATATTTAGTTAGTATCCATGTCAGGAACCCAAGGAAATGAAAGAAACATGAAGACACTGAAGGGAACTTTTCAGTAGAGATGAACCATTGTTCTTAATATCTCCAAAGTAACATTTTCATCAGGACAGATTCCGCTTCTGTAAGCATCCTTGGCCCTCAAACTCAGTGGTGGGTCGTCACCTGTATCCCAGGTGAAACAAAATGCTTTCAGCCCAAAATAGATAAGGTTATTAACCCATCCAAAGCAATGACTTTTAAAAGATTTCAGGAACTCAAAAAGGTAAGACAAAGAAAAATGTATAAAATCTACTTAGCTTTTAGGGGGAAAAAAGAAACCAAATGACTACAGAAATACTAGCTCCAAAAATACCAGAAAAGCTTCCACAGGAGAAAATAGAGAGCAAAGAATTGGCATACGACTGTCAGAGCTTGAGTGTCAAAGAGGTACGGGAAGCCGGCCCTGCGTCACCAATTATACACCCAACATCACAGTGACAGCCGCGATTTCCAACAGCAGTGGCAAGCCATTTGATGTCCTAAAAAAAAATCTCTTTTCTGTGACTAGCTGATCATATAACTATAACATGAGATTTTTTTCATTCCTTTCCTCATTGGTGACCAAATTTTAACAAAGGAAAAAGAAGGGAGAGGGAGAGGGCTGTGACAGACCCATTGTGTTCATTCTGATCTAAGACGTGCTTCATACACCGTTGTCTTTTCTTCTCACCTCCAGGAAAAGCACAAAGAAGAACCTGCAACAATGGCCAAGCTGACAGAATCCATGAGTGAGTAACTTGACATTTATTCTTGACTCTTGGTTTTGAACGGAAAACCGCAAACTCTTGCGCAAACCACATCCCCTCGTGGTGATCTGATTTGTCTTTCACTGTTGTGATGGCCAAGGTCTGTTTGACACGCATCGCCCTGTGCTGATGGTACATTATGCGTGATTCAGAAACCCATCTTGTATGGGGTCAAATTCTGTGCCGAAATGGTTTCTGAATGTATGGAGCTGAAGAGCCAAAATGGATTTCATTTGCAGCAATGCGCTGGGAATGGAGACCCACGGCTATTTAAACCTGACCTTTGGCAGGTTTAGACCAAGCCAGCTGAAGTTTTATGGGCTGATACTGCATTGGCTGGATAATCTAAGGAGAGGAGAGGATGGTTTATGACCATTAAACCTTTCAGGTGTTGTTCAGAAATTTCAAACAGAGCTATTAAAAAATGGAGTGCTTGAGGTGTAAGTAGCTTATCAGTGGTATAACGCTCTAAGCTCTTACACTAAATAAATAGAATACATATTTTTAAGAAGAAAGAATAATTAAAATGAATCCTCCCATAAAATGAGATATGCAGTTCTGTATGTTGAAATTAGAATATTAACCACCATGTGGATGTGAAACAAACAGGCAATGCAAGCTGGTTCTCTCGCTCTCCCACGGCCCCGGGTGTCCTCTCCCTCCGTCACCCCGCTGCTCACACTCGCCGGGCTGGCTCCGTCTTCCTGACCCTGACTGAAGCAGTCTCCTCTCTGCCCATTCGCTCCTGGGGCACAGTACACAGGGTGAGGGCAGGGAGGCACCAGAGTGGGTGCCAAGGGGGCCAGCTTGCGGAGCCCCAGAATGCAGGTCTATGCAGAAGACCATATCTGACCTTGGGGCCCCACACAGTGTATCAGATGAGCGTCCTTTGATCCAAAGCAGAAGAGAGCAGCAGGGGCTTCCCTGGCTGTGCGCCTCTGAAGAGCAGTTATTTTTTCCTCTGTGAGGCATGTGCTTGTCCTCACTGGAAAATGTCTTTCAAGTTCAAGGAGACTCGCTCCCTGGTTGAGATGATGAGTGTGTTCAGTTGGAATCGGAGGTCCTAGCTCTGAGGTCCGAGGCCCTGAGCCGGACTATAATCCTCATGCAGCTCAGTGGCCTGAGCCACATCTCCGTGGAAGTGAACGCCCCCCCTTGTCCCCCTCCAGGTCCCTCAAGGTAGGAACTTTCGCGCTTCTGTCATCTCCACCTGCTGTCCCCTGCACTCGCTGCCGAGGCCCTTGACCCCAAGGCCCAGCTCCAAAAGAACTCAACCTCCTCCCCTGCCGTCTCCCAGACTAACATGTAATTTAAGGCATTTTACTGGTTGACACACACACAATGTTCAGAACGGCAAAATAAGTGAGTGAGTCTCGGCTTAGGGTGCCCGACATTTGTACATGTTATTACTGGTCTTCAAGCCAGCGGGTGCTCAGGTGGCACCCAGGACTGTGGAGGGGCCACGGCTCCCTCTCAAGACCCAAGTGCGGAGCCGGGCCTTCACGCCGGGGGCCCAGTCCCGTAGGGAACGTGAAACACGCCCAACGCCACTTGCCTTTGCTCCAACCCAAAGTCAAAAAGTAAACACATACATTTTTAAACTCTCTTGCCTCCCACTTCCTCCACTCGCCTTCCCTGCCTCCCTCCAACTGCCACCCCGCTCACTGTCCTTTCCCTCCCTCCTCCCACGAGCTGCCACCTGGCTCGGAGAGCCTGCTCCACCCTCCCACCACCTGCCACCCTTCTCATGATCTGTCCCCTCCCTTCTCCCACTGCTCAGTTCCTCCCCTCCCTACACCAGCCGCCAGGCCCTCTTCTCCATGCCCCTGGAAACAACAGGTTTCATGGAGGAAGACAGAGGGAGCAAGAGGATGTGTCCACAGGGCTAGGGAATGCTGGGGGCTGGCACTTAGGGGCTCAAGCTTTGTTCGGTGCCCTCAGGTTGCAGAGAGAAGGGTCCCCTGCCCAGAGAGGTGGCAGTGAGAAAGGCCAGGGTGTAGGGGACAGATGCGACCTGGGCAAGCAAGCGTGGCCAGCCCAGAGCAGGAGACCGTGTCCGTGTCCACGTGCGTGCTTAGGAAGCGCTGTGCCTAAGATAACACACTGGGGATGTGAGTGAGCAGATGGTGGGAGGGAGAGCAGAGAACACTGGCTTCTGGGGCTCCAGCTCCCCGAGCGCAGCCACAGGGCTGGAGGGGGCTCTCCCACGCCCAGCGCCCAGGCGTGCTCTCAGGCCTGGACTGAACCCCTGGACAGGAATTTGCTTTTCACCTGGTGCAGCGCTCTTTGCCTCATTTATATTCCCAGTGAAAGGGAACAGATCCCTCCAGGGAATCAGCGTCAATGATCTGTCACCCACTTGTTCCCTGGCGCAGGGCGGCTGTGCCCTCCCCTCCCAGCCCTGCTCTTCCTCCTGGTGACAGGTGTGTGAGCTGTGGCAGCCGCTCCCTGGGCCTCCCTGAATTTAGGGAGGGGAGGCATGCGAGGGAGGCACCTGGCCCCTGTCACTGGAAGATTAAAATTGGGCAAAGGTGGGTGTCACCTGATGGGAGAAAGTTCGCGTCCCCAACTTCCCCAGGCCTTGGCTTTACTCAGAGGAGTGAGCTGAGCGAGGGGGGACGTTCAGCAGGAAAAACAGCGCCGCCCACGTTTCTTGTGTGCTTTGCTGCTTTGATTTAATCTCCCTCACAAGATATTAAATTTCAGGCTCAAAGGCGTTCAAGGGGGAGGCATCTTGGTGTTTAAATATTGACTCAGAGAATCGCTGCAGCCCACATCTGCATTCAGAAAGGTTTCTACACAATTAGCAAAACCCCCCTGGCGCGCGTGGCGAGGGCAGTCTCACCTGCCAGTCAGAGCGACGCTTCGGGGCTCAGAGCTGGCTGGGAGCCCCCTTCCGACGACTTAACCCTGTTTTCTGAGTCTCTGCATCTAAGCACAGCTCCCTGGCAGCGTTTTCATAGCACATAAAGCTGATGCATATGCATCTATACGCTAACAGGTGTGTTTATGTACATAAATATGCATAAATAATTGCATTAAATATGGATATACACGCATAAGCTAATAGGTACATTGAAAGCTAACGTGGATATTGAATATGTATATTCATGTATTGAAAGCTAATATATAATGGATGAGAGCCAGAAATAGAAGACCTTGCAAAGTGAGAGGCAACAGGCTTTTATCTGAGATCAAAGAATAGCTGTTGGGAGGCACTGAGTCAGGCAGAAGCCCAAACAGTGTTCTGATCAGGAGACCGAAGGGATGGGTATTTGTGAGAAAGGAAAGGGGACAATGACATCCATAGAAGGAGGGCATTTCTGTGGATGCATATAACAACGTGGTGATGCTAATTCTAAAGAATGTTTTTAATTTTCAGTTCGGTAGGCATCATATCTGCTCCCTTGCTATCCTTGCAAACACCCCTTTGGGCCACAGGTTGCTTGGGCCCAGTGCCAAGGTCAGTTTGCCCTGTTCTAACATTCGGAGGTTTGAGGTATAAGACGTGCAAGGTAGTTTCCCTGAGGTGGCAGCTCTAGTTCTGTTTTAAAGGGGCTCCATTTACTTTTGGGGGGGGCATGCAAAAACATACCTCTCAGTGCTAACTTAGGAGTTTCTTTGGACACATAGTCCCCAAAAAAAACAGTAACCAGTCATCATTTAGAGGCTATGGAGCCAAGGGCTGTGTGGGCTTCCAGAAACCAGAGCTCCAGGTGGTGGGAGCTGGTCCAGGGAGGCTGGTTGCTGAGTGGTGCTGGAAGGACAGAATTGGGCACCTGAGCACCCCACTTTCTCCACAAGGAGTGGAGTGACTGCCCTATGCGGACACACTCTTCATTGTGAAATGGCGTCTGCAGGCCACTCCCAAGAAGGTCTGAAAAGACCTATACGAGGGACTTGGTTTGCCAACCTTCATGGTCCTCAGATTGTCCTTACAACCACCTCTCCAAGGGCAAACAGGGCGACTGGTGCACCCAGTGGTTATTGTTTTACTTTTTATTTATAGTTTCATTTGTTGTTGTTCTGGAGTTTGGGGCAGCAAATAGGGAAATATTCCAAATCTCTTTAGATCTGATTGACCATCTTGCCTGGAAAGCTCTAGGAAAATATGATGTAGGATCAGATCATTTGAGAAACAAAGGTCTAGTTGGTCCAGTGAGGGTGAGATGGAATAAACTGGGTAACTGGTCAAAGATCCAGACAGTTACAATGATACTGGAGGAGCTGTCGTAGTAAAGGGGGGGGGGTGCAGGAACGTACCTGTGGGGAACACCTGTGGCCTCAACAGTTTTTAGCTTGTGAATATCTGTTTTACCCCATGTGTCAGTATTTATAAGTTTCTAACAAACCTTCAAAGTCTAATATCTAACAGTTTATACCTTTTACCATAAGAGTTCGTAACTATTTGCTCCCTCTCAAAACTGCAAAAATATTTAATATATATTGTCAAGAACTTTTGTACCCATCCTCTAATGAGAAAAGCTAGAAGAGAGCAAGGGAAAGGTTTTTAAAAAATCAGACTATTCCTCTTAAAACCACCAGCATTTCTCAGTGGGTTGAAAGATACACTGTGAGCAAAGAATAAGAGAAAACACATGCTGAGCACACAGAGGCCTAGAGGCAGCTGGGTCTTATTGTGATGGAGAAATGATCATTTATAAATGGACTGTGCAGGTTACTATAGAGACCTACATTAAACGGCAGGATGACGTGTGGCGAACCCACCAAAAGCTGCTTGGCCATCCAAACCTGCACTCGAAGCTCTCACAGGGTGGAAACATGGAATTGTGTCATCACGTGGGTGTCGCTAGTAGTTAGGAGTCCCGAGGATGGGCCGTGGCACTCTAAACTGGTCTGTGCTGTTCAGTAGCCTCATCAGAGCCCCCACCTTGCGCATGATGTGCTCCACTCTGCAGAGGCCCGAGGGACCCCAAGGTTGGTTTCCATGGAGATGGTTAGCAGCTTTGCTGGTGTTGCCT